CAACTTGAAGAACCCGAACGGTAAGCTAGGTCGCTGGTCATTGCGCCTACAATCGTACGATTTCGATATCGTACACCGGAAAGGGAAGGATAACGTTGTGCCAGACGCCCTGTCTCGCATGTATGAGACTGAAGAGGATGTGACAGCCGCCGCGGCTTCGCTAAAAGTTGATGAGAATATCAAGGACCCATGGTACAGGAAAATGGTACTAAAAGTCCTTGAAAGTCCGAGTGAGCACCCGCACTGGAAGGTCACCGGCGGTAGACTGTTCGCTTATAGGCCGGACCCTGCCGTCGACGACGTGTTGGGTCAAGATTACGAAGCGTGGAAACTCGTGATCCCTCGAGAGTTGCGTGAACGCATCCTCGCGGAATGCCACGATGAACCGACGGCCGGACACTTAGGGCGTTTTAAAACTCATCAGCGGGCGGTCACACAGTATTTTTGGCCCAAGATATATAAGGATGTGGCCCATTACGTCAGGAATTGCACCACCAGCCAGCAGGTGAAGGTCGAGCAAAGGGCTCCTGCGGGACTTATGGGTCGGCATATAGTTCACCGCCCCTGGGAGATAGTCTCAGGAGATACGATGGGGCCGTTTCCTAGATCGCCACAGGGCCACGAATATCTACTCGTATTTGTAGATCTTTTCACTCGTTGGATCGAGTGTATCCCGATTAGGAAGGCGAATGCCAAGACCATTAAAAGGGAGCTCAACGAGCGCATATTTCTCCGGTATGGTGTCCCCGATAAATTCCTGTCGGATAATGGGACACCGTTTAAGAATAAGCTTGTGGATAGCTTCCTGGAGTCTAAGGGAGTGGTTCATGCGACATGCGCACCTTACTCCCCGAAGTCTAATCCCACGGAAAGAGCTAACCGGACTATTAAGACCATGATTTCGGCCTTCATCGAAGAGCGTCACAGTACCTGGGATAAGCACGTGGCAGAGTTCGCCTTCGCATATAACACGGCCGTGCAGGAAGCTACTCGCTCTAGCCCCGCATTCCTGAATTATGGAAGGAACCCTGAGTTGCCTAACTCCACGAAGAGGGACGAGGAAAGGAAAGCGGAGAACGAGCTTCAAGGAGAAGCCCTAGAAGACTGGCGCTCTCGCATGGAAAGGCTCGAGGAGTACAGAGCAAAGGCGTCACAGAACTCGAGAGCCGCCCAAGATCGCCAAGAGGCCTATTATAACAGGAGACATCGCGATGTGACTTTCGACGTAGGCGACAAAGTGTGGGCGAAGAATCACTTACTGTCGTCGTCAGCCAAGGCCGTCGCAGCCAAATTAGGTCCGAAATACTGCGGACCCTTTATAATAACGCGTCGGAATGGTCCCAGCTCCTACCAGCTTAGGGATGAGAACGGTATGGACTTCGGTAAGGTCGCCTTAGAAGGCCTGAAGCCCTGCTTCGATCGAGCGCAGCTCCCCGACGATGAGGAGAGTGATGATGTCGAATTCAACGACGAGCCCGACGAAGCTCAGCCTCAGTTAAGCCGGTCGGTAGCGATTACGCGGGATGATACGGCGGAAGTAAGTTGAGAGGGAATCACCGAGATGGAACCTACGCCGGCCGTAGTGTCTAAGAGGAGAGGACGCCCTCGAGGATCGAAAAAACCTCCGTTAATCCCGGTGGCCGCATCCCCTCGACGTCTGCGCCCTAGGAATCACTGACGGGAACAGGCTTCTTTCCTCACCCCTACTCCCTTCCTTCCTGTTAGCCCCTGGAATCTTATCTGATTGTACCTGACTTAATTACAGATAATGTCGGCGGACAGACAGCTGTGGGTGTCCCAGGAGCTGATAGAGGGGATTGCGCGACTGACGCACGAACTGTTGGCAGCAGGAGCCTCACCCACCCTGGTGGGCCTGGTCACCCCAGCCACGGCCGACTTGGCACGACTGCCAAGTACCTCTAGCCGACTGGCTATTGGCGCACCACCGGAGGCGTCACCGCACACCCTCGAGGCAACCGCTTCAGCCGCGCCGCCGGAAGGACCAGCTCACCAAATAGCGTCCACGCACGAGGGAGCCCTCCCAGGGGCCGTTGAACTCGCCTCTGAGGGCAAACGGGCACCGATCCTGCTATCTGGTCCAAAGGACCCACCTGCGTCAACGCATGCCCAGGCCTCTCCAACGGCCACCGGGGCAGTCTTTGAGGACGAGGTAGCCCCGAGTCCATTACCCGGATCAACGGTGACCAAGGACCTGTCCGCCGAATGGGGCGAGATCCTGACTCGAGCCAAGGCAGCCAGGAAGGCCCGCATCGAAGCCACCAAGCAGGAACAAGAGGCCTACCAGGCGGTCCTCGACTTCGCCGGCCGTCCATGCCCTCAGGCAACAGAGCTGGCAAAAGAATGGCTCCCCAAGGTGCAGGAGGCCATTGATCTGGCTGCCTACCTCGAGGAGACGCGCTCGGCCTGGCTCACCGAGAGGAAGAGGAGACTGGAGGCAGAGCAGGAAAGGGAGCGCATTATAGCGGAGCAGGCCAAGAAGCTCCAGGAATTGCACGCTCTGCGGGCCCAGCTGGCGGCCTTGGAAGAGGAGAACGCCAGCCGTCCTCTCCTGGTTCCCAACCCGCACGTGTCCAACAGGGCGAGGAACGAACCAGGTCACCATGCGAGGCAGGGAGCAGCCGCTACTCGCCCGTGCGGCAAGTGGGATGGCCCCCGCCTGGACCTTCGGTTGATCCGGAGCTGCCCGCACTGTGGCCTGACAGGAGTGTCAAGGGGAAGGGACTGCCCCAACTACACCCAGCATTGGAAATGGGCCCAGGGACTCTTGGCCCCATATTCCTACGATGAGTAGGAGGGTCCTCGATGCCCACCTGCGTCGACGCATCCTCATCGCGAGCAGATGATTAGCTGGACCTCGACTTTGTACGGAGGAAGAGAGGCGCCCACTTAATGTTTCTTTGTTTAACCTTTTTTTGTATCACGATATTTCCCTTTTCTTTGACGTTGACGATAATAAAGTCTTATAATAAGTTTCGGCTTTTCCTTATTACCGAGAGAGAGAGAGTCTTCCTTTCGAGCTGGTACCCCGTACTCAGCGTCTGGGCCGGGGGGATATAACGAGGGAGATTGCCAACCCGTTATATCTCTCTCTCCCTAGTAATGATATGTAAATGTAACCTATTTCTCCGAACTTATCCTATATATATTTATGAATTTATTATGTTTATATTCATCTATCAATTATTATTAATATATTTGTATATGTAGTCACTTTTCGGCTCGAATATAAGGTAAGAGAGAGAGAGAGATGCGAGTACGCAGGGATACTTCCGCGCGCGACCACGAGGCGCGGAGAGAGAGAGAGAGAGAGAGACATAGTCGCGCTTTAGCGAGTGACCGCGGGCACTAATCGACGAGAGGCAGAGCAGAACGAAATCGAGAGTCGAGCAAGTATCACGCTAAAGAGTTGTCATCGTGCGGATTTGTCAGCGGACGAGTGGATTCTTTTGTCTCGACGACTTTCCTTGCTGAGATCTTGGTTGTGACCTAGTGTTTCCCTCTTCTGCAATCTCGAAGCTGTGGCCTTTATCCGGAGAGGAGTTGCGACGTCGCCCGGCCCTGCAGAAGATCTACGCTTGTGCGCTGTAGCTGTTAAAGCGGGAGATCGTCAAGAGGAAACGAGCCGCGGAGTGCACGTGGTGCCCGATAACTTGTGCGCGCGCGTTTACGCAAACTGTGCGACTCGTTTACGTACCTAGAGGACGAGTACCGTCATTGTAAGTACCTGCTAGTTGGTTTACTCTCTCTCTATCCGTTCTCTCGGCGTACTCTCTCCCTCCTCCCGACCGCTTTTTGTTAACCTCTATTGATTAAAAACACTGTTTACCATTAGCCTCTTTTTTTTATTTAATCGTACACCGACGCCTTATTCAAACGCTTCCCCCTTTCGCGCCTACACCCGCTTTCGAATCATCGGCTTTCGCGTCCTTCAGTCAACACCACGAATCTGCGCGGATCCGGCCGTCCTGTCACCGGCGTAACGAACACCGGACCTGAGAAGACGGACAGTCCTGGAGGCTTCAGACTTCGCCCGGACATTCCTAATCTAACCTTAGTTATTTCCTTTCTTTATATTGACGGGGCTAACCGGGCTAAATCCCCGTTATAGTATTCAACTTATGTTATATATGTTCATTAATTACTTCAAATTAAACATCCACTTTCTCAAAATTTTTAAACATATTTCTTTTTCCAAATGACCATTCTCATTAAGATATTATTTCAGGACATAACCGATATAAATACATATGAAGTATGTCTATTTTTTCAATGACCTAAAAGTAAAATGCGTTTGTACTCAAAATATGTATCGTTTTTTTATCTTTCTAATTCATCTTTTTGTTTTCTTTTATTTCATTTATTAATTAAAAAAATTTTTTTTTCCTGTTTGACTTTCTAATGATCTAGAACTAAAGGAGATTGTGTCAAATGAAAATCGTGCTTGATTTAAGCTTGTCGAAATATACGTATGCAATGTATAAGTTTCGTACAACACGGAGCACTTTTGTTGATATGTCTGTACAATATCTGTAATATTTGAAATTAATATGACCTTGAAAATCAATCTAAAAAATAGAAAAAAATATATCTAAACTTCCGAATTCCGCTATTTGTGAATCTGCAGTCTAAATTCGATTATACGGAAATTGAAAATTTGACCATCAAATCCCCTTAGCGTGGAAACTAACGAAGTCAAATTTGATTTCAGTGGATCAAAATAAATAAAATTATCTAAATAGAATTTTTTCTTCATTCAGAACAGAACTCTATTTATCTTCAATAAATTATGGTTCGATTAATTTTCAATTTTGTATAGAGTTTAAAAGTAATACAGTTTTCTTTCTGATGGTAGTTTAATTTTACAGTTCGATCAATTTAGTTAAAATCGATGATGTAACATAGTCGTTGTCAGATGTGATCATCGACTTTATTTTTTAATATTATGCTTAAAAAAATAATGAGTGTAATAAATGTACTACCTGGAAAATTCATAAGAGTCTGGTTCGTGCCCTGAGGTAAACCCCTTAATTCTAAGTTCTCGTTCAAGATCTTGCCCTATAATACCAGCTTCGCAGCAAGCAAGTAGGTTATTTGGATCAATCCAAAGTATACGATTCATCTGGCTAGTATCGAGACATAGAATAGCTCGGTATTCATTTATCGGACACTGTGCTGCTCCACTTACCGACGTACCTCCACCAAAGGGAATACAAACAACTCCATGATCCAAACAGACTTCCACGGTTTTTTGTGCTTCCTCATGAGATTCTATAATGTAATATTTATTTTTTATGAATTGAAATATTGCACTGTTTACTTTAGAAAATAATATTTATTACTATGATCAGTTGTGCTTACGTACTAGGCCAAACAACAATGTCAGGTATGCGAGTAATGAATCCCTGTTTCAAGTTATAAATCTCGCGAAGTGAATGGCCGTGAGACCTGATTAAGCGATCGACTCCCTGTACAGAATACTCAATATCTAAAGTTTTGATTGCATCAAGGAATGGTTGACTAATCAAAGTATCCGGTAACTTCTTTGGAAGAGGCTTGGATTCCATGCGACAATTCAAATCGACTTGAAATGTTTCTTTCACCCATGATGTAAGATAGGGTAATTCTTTATTGCCTATTGAATATCTGAAACATTATTACCAGCAATTAAGATGACCTATATTCCTTCAATACTATACATTAATGAATATCAATCTAATTTGATTTTAACTAACTTTAAGCTGTTACATATCAAAATAATTGAAATATGTTCAATTTTACTTTATTGTCTAACTGGTTAACCTATTGTTGAAATTCTTTAAAGATATAATTTATTGACGGAGGATATTAATTTTTAAAATATATACTATCAAAAAGTTCAGTCATGAATAGTTTAGTATTATTATTATATTATGCAACGATTGCCGAAAATCGTTATGACTCGCGCGGACCGTCAAGCGTGGCTATGCGAAATAGCCGTGATCGGCTTAGGTTAGAGAGAGAGAGAGGGCGCACATTAAGGGCAACGACCGAGAGGGGAGGGCTAGTGAGTTAGTATAGCAGAGTTCGTCAGCTTAGATGCATCGTATCTTTCGCCCAGTCATTTTGTTGTTAGGAAAAGTCATATAGGAACTATTTAGAGATATTCTGTGCCGAGTGTTGTGAGTGAGCATGTTTCCTGCACCTCGTGCACAGTATCAATGACTGCAACAACACCTTTGCAGCAGCATCTGCAGCGCAGCCCAGCAACAGCAGCAAGAGTAGGTTGCAGCGGCAGCTCATCGTTTTTGTAAGCGGATACGGTTGGCCACCGTATCCGAATCGCCTTTGCGGTAAGTGCACTGCACTTTTGTGTAGATATTGCGTGCGATCCCGCGCAGCGTGCGCGGTGAATTTCGTTAACATTGTTGCGCATGCGGTTAGTTAGCGGTGTCCGCGAAATTAATTCTCTCTCTCTCTCCCTGTTAGATTAATTTTGTATACACGGCGTGCGTCCAAGACTCTCGGCAACTCATCCCGTGTATAAGATTTAGTTAGTCTAATAAAGTGGTTCACGAATAATAAGAGACGACCTTGTTATTTCGTCTCGCCTTGCACCGGTGTCTATGTTTATATTTATATTTGGATTTGAACGCCCCGAGAACTCATCATAGATCGCGAGTGCGACTGGTAGAGTCGTTCGTCAATCGAGTTATCTGCTGCGGCCGACGGAGCGCTGGTAAGCGAGCGCACCAGCACCTCTAGCGGTTAGTACGAATATCGGAGTTGGATCGCTACGAGGACTCGGCGTAAGCGCATACCGGCATAAGGTGAGTTAGCATGCTCCAAGCACGCAGTTAGCAGAGCACCGATCGGCCGTTGCGGCAATAATAATTGCTGGGGTTTAGCGACTAATCGGCAGCCTGTTACAATTAATATACATGGATGATTTTCATCTAATGAGAATTTCAGTAAATATTATAGTTCTATATCTTATGAGATTAATGGAATCAAACAATTTCTTTTTGATCATGAATTTCACAGACGCATGGAAAATATATTTTCATATAATAAAATTCGTGAATCTCTAAATATTTATGCAAATTATTAAAAACAAATTATGTTACGTGCATATAAATCCTTATTAACAATCGACGTCGAACTTGCAAGTGTGACGTCCTTACGACTAAACCATGGTTACCATTGCGTGCTAATTCTGATGACAACTCCTAATTAATTCTCAACATTTTTATAAGTTACGTTGACTTAAATAACATATTTATACAGAGTGGAGAAAAAAGATACAAACATCTAGAGTTTTTTGGCTGAATAATTATTTTCATTGTAGCAATCCTCTGGATGGGTATTACCAACAGTGATACAAAGTATTTATTACATAAACTTGCTGATAAAAAATTTGCTAGGTGTTACGTGGAATAAGAAATTACATGAAATTAATAACAAAGTACTATAGTTAGTACTAATATGCTATGTACGACAAGAGTTGCAGTGTCAATTAATAAATTATAGAATATTTGTAAATTTTATTTCTTCTAAGAATTTGATGACACCTACATATTGTTGTAAATTGTTAAGGAAAAAGCCTAGGTTATTTGGAAACTTATACTTTTGACGTTCATTTTGATGTTTGGGACAATGTAGTAGTGTGTTGTTACGTCTCACAATGTAGTTTTGCAGAGTCTTATATTTTTTAATAATGCACATACAATTCCAACTTTCAAATTCTTACAGAGATCAAAATTATATATATGACAGCAGAAAATCATTGAACTTGCAATGAACAAACAATCAGGTGTCTCTCAAACACAAATAAACTTTCTTCGGAATTCCATGTAGATATTTTCGCAAATCCTGATGGTTTTTATGGCTTTCCATCTGTATTTGGCAATGAAATTGAATATAACATAAAAATGGGTGAAGATCGAAGTCCACTATCAGAGAAAATTTTGTTGAATTTTTGAATTTTAACTAGTGTTTTTGTTCATCGTATTATGGATATGATTAATGACATGAAAAGTTCATGAGTCATTTTTAAATAAACAATCTAGCCTAACTCGATCATTGAATGTATAATCATAATGCGATATCAAAAATAGGACACCAAATAAAAAATTTATTATCTTAGAGAAACTGTAACGAGTATTAGTTTACTCGTCACGTCTCTCTCCCCCACCAAGAATATGGATATATTTTTCGCCTCAATATATAAACATTTATTTAATCTATTTAATATAATACAATATATATGCATGTATTCTATAGTCTATATATACCATGTACTTTTTTTCGCAGCCTGAAGGCAAAGATAAGTGAGAGAGAGAGAGAGAGAGAGCGCCACCAATTAAAAATTAGTTGAAAGAGAGAGAGACGGCCTCGCGCGATATGTCACAAGCCATTTTATTGGTTAAAACGCGCGACACGCATATCACGCGCGAGAGAGACGACGCCGACCGGCAATCAGAGCTACGTTGTAGTGAGAGACACACGCTGTTGTTAACTGCGGTCAAGCGCGCCATTATAGGCTTTTTCAATTTTTTTTGTTCGCGACTTCGCTTTCGTTATTCTATTGTTACTTCGTAGGTGCAGCATAGGCTTTTGACTGATGTCGATTGGGCTGGTACGCCTAATAAGCGACTTATACTGGTTGACCAGGCCAGGCTTCGTGTAGCCTTCTACGGGGCTTGCTGCTTTATTTCCTCTCTCGCATATAGTATTAATTTATTAATTATTAATGTATTTATATCGGGTGTTGTTTCTTGAGCCAAAACCCTGTTATAAAACTACGACTTTTGTAATGAAAGTAATAAGTAATTATTATTTGTACAAAATCATAAGGGTTCAATATTTACTTATTTATTTATAAATCAATACAAAGTAGTAGATAATTGGGGTGAAAACCTCGATTACTGTCAAACCACAGAAAAGGGATATATATTAAATACTTTTTTTTATATATACGAGGTGTAATCAAAAGGTAAGATGACTTTTTATTTTCATGCATGTATGATATTATAATATCATTTTAATTCCAATACATATTACAAACGCTAGAAATGTACATTTTGCTATCATACTCAAAGTATACACAAGTTTTATCAATATTTTTCGTATATGTCATTTGAATGTTTTGATTTATTTGTATAACTTGTTTTAAGCAGTGTAACTCGTTACTGATTACATTATCATCACTCATCATTTCAACCTTATTGTATGTGATATACTCTTGTCCATGTGACACATCTACAAGAAATTGTTGAATCTCTATGTAATCTCCACTTTTTAAAGATGCAAAGGAATTGTTCGATCTGTATAACACTTTTTCAGATGATTTAAATGGACATCCGTCCTTTACCATTTTTTTATAAGATCTTACATTCTCTAATGGAAGTTGAAATTGCCTAACAATATCTTCATTGACTTTGGTTCTTCCAAAATACCTATATGTAAACTTAACACTATTCTGAATCAAATTATTATCTAAATATCTTACATATTCTAAACATGGTGATCTTGTTTTTTTCTTTTCCGCGTGTTGTCGTATTTTCTGATACTTCCTTCGAAAGATAAATAACGACACACTTGACTCAAGACACTTTTGGCTGCATAAATAGTTTTTTTTATTCTTCTATTTCCTGATTCAAACACATACATCGTATACGCTATGTGCGTATAAGGGACCTCAGTCTGCAACACTCTGTGATAAGTGCAGTAATTGATTTACGTTCTACGTCATCGCATCAACAGTATATAGCTTTTCCGTACTATACACAAAGTCTTTCAAAAGAAAATCTGCTCTTTGTAATTCCATTATCGTTATTTCAGTTTGCAATAGTATATAATAGGCTTCTACTAACAATGACCACTGATTCATATACTGTTCAAACGCTGGAATTTCTTCAGATATATATTTTAATATTGATATGCTATAATATAGAATCCAATTACGCCATTCTATTGCTTTCCAATACGCTCGATCACATAAAGAGCGTGACAATTGCGTTAATTGTGTAGGCACTTTGATGTTTTTCAGTAATTTATCAATATCTTTTATTTTATTCTTAGGAATTGAATAAGGCTTATTAGATGAAGTTAACCAATAGTTGATAAATTGATTACTAACGCCTCGATCAACACAGTGCAATGGACATGGATCGAATCCATCAATTATATTGAAATAATGTAAAAGCAATAAAGGACTAACATTCTTTATACCAAAAAGAGGAGTATTTGATTCAACCGATCTCTGCATTAATGCAAATGTAGCATTTGCCGTTCGTTTTTCAGGGAATTCATCCAGTATAGGATACATCATAGAATAACCACTATCATGACGAACCGAGGAATCTGGATGCAAGCACCAGTTACATCTATAATAACCATTAAACTAAACAAGACCCTGCATGAGTGCTCGTGCGATGGAATCCACACAACAACACAATGCATATACATATAATTTTCTTGTTTCATTGTATAGTTGAACTTCAATCCCATTTTCCGAAAGTTTATTCATTTGCTCGGCAAAGGAACGTCGAAAATACTTCAGATTTGGTTTATTACGCCCGAACCACAATTCACATATTATTGTTTTCGTGGCACGAAAATTTTGGGGAGTCTCATTTATAACTATTTGTAAAGGCCATATAGAA